CATTACAATCAACGATACCAAAACTCTAGAACATGTACACATCATACAATAATTATCATGTTATTTCAGTTTATAATTATTCAATTTCCAATTTTTATAAAATTTTTCAGAATTTTTTTAGTATTTTTATATAAATAATAGTTCTATGTTTTTCAAATAATAAATATGATTTCATCTTTAACATATAATTGTTTTATTTTACATATAATTGTAAAGTAAAACATCTATACCATTTAAGGTAGATAAAATAAATTATTTTTATAATTTTCTGTTTTCATTAAATTTTTGGGAAAAATTAAATCTTAAATCATTTAATTCAATTTTTATTGAAGCCCAAATATAGTCTAAAAGCAGTCAATATATAGAGTCGTGAAACCAGGCATTGATATACTTCCATATCATTGTGTATTGGACCGTATCCACTGATACAACACAATTCAAAGGGATACAGATGTTTATTGTACCAATACGCACAACTCATGCGATGCAAATCCAATTGTGGTGTATCCCATATATATCTGTGGTCATGTATATGGATACAATACACCCTGTATCAAGAGTACTTATCAATACTTTAATCTTTGGTGATTGACAACAAATTCCAGTGTTTCAACCTATCATTGATCTAGCTGGTCAGACTGGTGGCTCAATCACAGTAGGGATTTGCGTCAACATCTAACCTAACATTTTACAAAAGAAAAAATGATTTACTTAGCCAAGGATCCACCAACTTGGGTGGTTGAACCATTAATCCATTTGTCAATGATAATGATATCATAGGTTGACCCATTAGTCCAAATGGTTAAGCTTCTTACTCATTGACCCAAAGGGAAAAACTATTCAAGTTGTGGGGTCAAGTTTTAAAACACTAATAAATCTATATTGTAAAAAAGTACGAGTAGAGTTTTGTATTTTTGGAATTTTCTTAACTAAAATACCCGTCTTTTTGCAATATGGTTCATCTTTATTATGAGGGAAAAAAATATAATTTGAACACTATTATTAAGTTCATTCAATTCTCTTTCATTAAGTCTCACATTTAAGGTATTAACTCTAATTCTTCCTCATTGATTTATATATTTAAGACACTGTTGTTTCTCATTACTAAATTCTACTAATTAAATCAATACATGATAATTTTAATAATACAAAAATCTGTGCTTTTAAAATCTACCCAGAAACAAAACTGTATTTTCATCTAGGTGGTAGTAAGGAAGTTCAACCATTTTTTGGGTTAAATGGACCAACTCATGATGTCATAATTAAACAATAAAAATTCTGAAATAAATAAAACACAAAAATATAAAAAAAAATAAATATATATAAAAAATTTTGAGCACATATATGATAAATAGAAAATATTTTTRTTAATCATGGAAATAGAATATAAAATTTAAAACCAACTAGAAATGAAACCATTTTTCAATTCCTTCTCACTAAGTTCCATATATAAGCTATTAAATCTTATTCTCCCATTAAATCCTATAATTAAGGTATATTTGTTTCTTCTCATTACTAAATTCTACTAATTAAATCAATACATAATAATTTTAATAATACAAAAATCTGTGCTTTTAAAATCTACCCAGAAACAAAACTGTATTTTCATCTAGGTGGTAGTAAGGAAGTTCAACCATTTTTTGGGTTAAATGGACCAACCCATGATGTCATAATTAAACAATAAAAATTCTGAAATAAATAAAACACAAAAATATAAAAAATAAATAAATATATATAAAAAATTTTGAGCACATATATGATAAATAGAAAATATTTTTATTAATCATGGAAATAGAATATAAAATTTAAAACCAACTAGAAATGAAACCATTTTTCAATTCCTTCTCACTAAGTCCCATATATAAGCTATTAACTCTTATATCCCATTAAATCCTATAATTAAGGTATATTTGTTTCTTATCATTAAATTCTACTAATTAAATCTGCAACATTAATTTTAATAGTATAAAAATCAATATTTAGAAAATTAATTAACCTAAAAAAATCATTTTCTTCACCCGATGGTTGGTAAGCTATTCAATCATTTAGGCCAAATGGATTAACCAATAATACAATAATTAAATAATAAAAATTTAAAAATCGATATAAATAAAATATAAAAATACAAAAAATTAAAAAAAAAAATGGACATATCTCTAATATTATATATTTATTATACTAAACAAAAATAAATATGATATGTGAATATTATTTTAATTTGAAACTTTTATATATACATGTCCATTTACTAGTTCAAGATACATTGCAATGACTTTTGACTCGAAGAAATATTTAATCGTAGTTATTCAATGAAACATTTATCAATGAGAAGTTGAGAACTACTGTGTTTGGTCACATGCTTAGTTTGGATTACATTGACTAATTTAGGAGGTCATTTTGATGGTCTAGTCTTAGGTAGGTTTTATTTGATAAGTCACTCTCGATTTGGCATGGATTTTTTAGAGGTTTTCATGCATTATTTGAAGGGTTGGGATTGGATAGATAACTTGCATTCTTGATATTATCTCAGGAGACGGTTTAATCCTAGAACTTTGGATTGAATTATATCTCATTTGGATGGACTAGATTAGATAAAATCTTAGTAGATCAATAGGATGATTGAGATTATTTCACTGATACTGACTATTTTGATAAATGAGACTTAACAGAAACAGGGAATCGATATTTACTTTTTTTTTAGGATTAAGAGAGAATGTGACTATTCCAAAGGGAACTCAACTACTTARCCTCCGGAGATTGACCTTTGTTGGATGTCTGCATTGAATGGGTCAGACCATTGAAACAAYAGTTAAAAGGAACCACTGACCTGTTGTAGGTACATAGTCACTCAAACTATCARAGCACAGAGAGTGTCAAATCAATATCACACGGATGCCTACAATTAGTTTGGATGCATCGCACGCCTATGATGAGTTATGAATTCAACGCATGTTTGTAGAAAAATCGTACCCGAAATGGGTTGTGATGAATTATAACTCGCATAAACCTGCAATGAGTTTTAGACACATACGGCCTTGCGATAAGTTTCAGATGCGTATAGACTTGCGATGAGTTTTGGACACGAGTGATCCCGCGATGAGCTTTGGACACACGCAGGTCTACGATGGGCTTCAAAGCTATTGCAAAACCACGACAAGCGTAGAACTACTGCGGACTAGGAATAAATGTTAGAAACACGTGTCTTTAATTTACATGCGTGACGAGAGGCTCTATTGGCCAAATAAGGGCACACCAGCTAAATAATGATATCATTCATGCCACGTCGGTTAAAAGGGTTACAAAAGGAAGTAGCACACGCAAATTATGAAAATCATCAAACAAAAGGAAAGTTCATCGCTGAGATATCTCATAAGACACTTGACGAAATCCTAGTAGTACTCCTTGACAACTAATAACAAATCAAATATTCCCTTTTCTAGTAAAAATCAAATGCTTTTGGCTCCTTCCTTTTAGGACCTTGAGATCTCTCCCTATAAATAGAGGTCTATTTCATAACGAAATCATCAATCTTATCATTTTCATTTGCCCTAACATTTAGCCTATCTTCTACACCCGATCTTCCTTTGTCTTTCAAAGAAACCCCCATACGTAGCCTCACCACTACACTTACACCCATCATAACAGTCACCTTCTATTTAAAGAATTAACCGATTTGACCTTCTAAGAGGATCTTATTTGTTCTTGGTGTAAGTTCAAAAAACAAGTCAAAAAAATCTGCTTTGGAAGCATCTTCTTGGTTGTATATTTGTTTTTTTTTTCCAAAATTTAAACTAAGAAACTTGTTCTTGAACTTCTGATTTCATCTAACGATCTATTTTCATGTCTCATAAATCATATAATATCTATCTTCAAAATTTGTTTCTGTTTTGAAAACTATCAATGGTTTCAAAAACATGAATTGTTTTTTAAAAAGAAAACCAGCTTGTTCTTGCCTCTTTAAATAAAAACAAAGTTCAAGAACAAGTTAAAAAAAATGAAAATATCAGATTGTAGACCACCACCTGAATCAACAGTTTTTGTTTTTTTTTCTTCTTTTTTTGACCAAACCCACAGGTTATTTCAACTTACTGGGTCTGGGATAAAATGTTAGCATTCTTAACAGACTCTGATTCCCAACCCTGTCATCAAAACAATTAATACTAAGTTAATTTGTCTAGCAAAGAATTGGATCAACCCAGTTCTAATGCAGGTTTGGATTTACATATAGCTGATTTGATCATGAGGTGCTGAATAGGTATTGGTCTATTGGATATGTTGCCTCCAAGTTAGGACTACAGTCACAAGGGTGGTTGATAGACTTTTACTAGAACCTGGAATGTCCAGGAAAGCAACCAGCCAACCCAGACTGGAACTGTGAATATCACTAATGTCTGGGTCATAGCGCCTAGACATTTTATACCCTGTAGAGAAATTAGAAGAAAATTACAAGTATGAATTGTTTTACGATTTGTAGAGGATCAGTTCAGTTATCTATGGGAGTCAGGTGAACCCACTTGGCAACAAAAATCCTAGCCTTTGATAAATGGCTTTTCTAATTATTATTGCCTACGAGATTTAACCGGGTAAAATTATCAGTCCCTCGTGAGCAAACAAATGTAAAAATGAATAGAACACATAAACTGAATAAATAGGAATACCAATAAAAGAAAGAACTATAATTGATGACCAAACAAGGGAAAATCTATAATACCGGAAAGACATGGCACCGAAAGAGCTTTGATCAAACAAAGCACCCCCGTGAATTTTGATCAATACCTCCTAATTGGTCACCTCTACTATGATACTGGTTGATTGGCTATAATTTTTTCCAGTATCATGTCTTTCCGGTATCATAGTTGAACCCAACAAACAAATGTTACTGTTACTTGGATCAAATACGTGAACTTGGACGATCAACATTGTGGTTGAATGAATCAAATATAGGAAAGTTAATTCACCTGTTAAGAGGGGAAACGAGTATTGGAATCCAGGCCCAGATGGAACGTATAGAGATCAGGCATAATGCACTCAAAAATGAGTTCAAAGGCGAACAATCAGTCTGTAGAAATCCATGGCAGAAACAGGAAAGATGCATTTTTAAATTGCCCTACATGAATTTCTTGCATCTTGTCTCAATTGTGTACAGCATCTCTTCAAGAAAATAGATACAGATACCAGGATTCCAGAAGATGAACAATTTTCACTGTATAACTTGAAATGACTCGAATTCAAGAGCATAACGAAAGATTGAAAGAAAACAAATTTCAGGCATAAATGAATGGATTGCTGATTACCTACAACATGAACATGTTATTTCTTGCAACCCAAGTTTAACCTGCTGTAATTAAATGGCAAAGTACTCAGCTTCATGTACAAATCAAGTGATGGATGATTTGCAAACTGGGCATGATGTCCTTCTTCTCAGCCAAGGATCAACACACTGCATTACAAAGCAAACAGAGTCGTTGCTACATGATTGTCCACAAATGGAATTTTTCCAAGTTGGATAGATGAGGGGAACATTACATCTTTGTGAAATTTGTGCAAGCAGGGAAGATGGCGAATTGTATCACCAATTGTTGGGGTCTCAAGGCAGACTGCACAAACTTCTTCAAAATTGTCAGTCTGCATTAAACAGACAGGATAACAATCAATAGAAAGCAACTACAGGAAGTTTTGTGAAAAGAAGAGACAGAATTAAGACAGAAATGATATTTTACCAAAATGCCCTTAATAATAAAATATTAATTTTTCTGCAAAAATATACATTTTGAATTTGACAAAACTACCCTCATTTGTAAACAGTCAATACAGTTTTACTATCTCAAAATTTTATTTTGTTTCAAATTCTTCCTAAACTTGTTTTCAACTTTTCATTCCCACCGAGTCGTAAGGCAAGAAAATATGTCCCTTTACAATGGACTTCTGAAAGGTGCCAAGAAGAGTACAATGGACTTCTGAAAGGTTTTAAATGTTAGGCAACCATTTGTCACTAAAACAGATGGCATGTTAACGGAAGGGTGGAACAAGTAACCTAAGCCCAAACTACATGGACAAGTCAACAGGTAAACTCGAGGGGAGATCTTAGTGCTTTCAATGGGTTGGATCAGGTCTGGGTCAGGGTAGACCTAGTCCCAACCCAATAAGTAAATGTGCAGAACCAGTTCGAAACCAGACCCTATAGGGTCTGCAATCAGGACTACTGTTCTGACCAGATAGACCTGATTATATTAACAGCTATACTTTTAACCTGTAATCTCACAATAAACCTCCTTGTTAAATTGACACATTTCGATATCATACTATGATAATATTACAAGTATATCATGAGAAAAAATAGGTACTTTTTTGGTGAATGGTGAAAAAGTAGAATAGGTATTAGATTGGGGGTATCTTTGTAATGTGCCAATATACATATTCATAATTATAAATACAATAATATTTGACCTGCTGGAGCAAGACCCCCCCAAACTCAAAAAAAAACAAATTGGGCTGCATCGAAAAGGGGGTGGGGGGGTCTGGGGGGTGAAGCCCCCAGCCGAAGGGGCAGGGGGCAAACCATTTTCTTTCCCCTTATCTTTTCTTCCCTTCCCTTTTCTTTTCTTTCCTTTTCTCTTTTTTTTTCTTCTCTTTCTTTTTCTTTCCCTTCCCTTTCTTTTCTTTTTTTTTCTTTTTTCTTTTTTTTCTGTCTTTTTATATAAAATGTGTGTGAGGCGCATGAGGTGTACGCCTCTAGCACACCTTATGAAAAGAGCACATGAAGCGTATGCTTCAGAGGAGTCAGCACCTCTGCCATACGCCTCAGGGCATTTTGGGAGCGCCTCACCTAGAGGCGTGCCTCCAAGCATACGCCTCCCACGCCTTTTCAAACACTGGTTCAACCACACGGGTCTGCAAATTTCTGACCAACTCAATGGTTTTTGAATAATAGTGGGTTTGGGGTTAACCAAAACTGGAATCATGACAGGGTGACAGGTCGAACAGTCAAAACCAGCTGGAACAATGAAGGGTTGAAAACACTGCCCATTTATACACACACACATACATAAGATAAAATTACCTGGACAATTGAATGTGGCAAGCCATTAATCTGACTGAGAGATGCACCACGATGTTGGTGATTATTCTCATCAAGAGCCAAAAGCATCTCATAATCATTTCTGAAAAAAAAAATCAAAAGCATAGAAAGAAATACCATATAAACCACACCAACCTTCCAGATTTTTAAGATCTTATTAGGATTATAGTAAACATGCTTCACCAAGGAACTATTACTCTAGATTAATTCCCACAGATACAAAATGAAGCAAACAGCAGTTGGTGTAACAGCACATAGAGCATATGCATTAAAAAAAAAGGCAAACTGGTAAAAATACACAGAACAAATATAGCAGAAAGCTCTAAAAATCGATCATATTCATAGATTACATGATTGATTTTGGTAAAGAGTCCAGTTGAATACTGTAGAGAGACTGGGCCATAGTGCATTATCATTCTCTGTCTTCTTTTATTTGTTATGTTCATGTTAATGGACCTTGTTCACATGGGCCTGTTAGCCATTTTTTATTTCTTTTAAGTTATGCTTATGAGCTGGCCGCCCCATTAAAGGCATCACTGTAACTACTCTCTTGAGATTAGATTAATAATACAAATTAGGGCATCATTGAACTCTCTTCTTCTCCCTTCTCTCATCTTCTTCCACTTTTGATTTTTCTTATTTCTTCTCTTTCTTTCTTTCTAATTTCAGATTATACTGTTATTTCTTATCAGACCGATTCACACCCTGGTGTCAAAGCACCTTTTCCCTTTTTCTCTTCAATCCCATACATTCTTTGATTGGAAGAGTGTATGGAGAAATAAGTTGCTGATTATTTCTCAGCTGTTTTTGCCTAGTTGGTAAAGGGTCTGTAGATCTAAAAACTAGCTGTGGAATGCCAAGAAATTGAGGCTTTTTATTTTTGCCCAAACCCTAGCTGACTAGAGATTTTCAAATTACGGGTCAAGGAGTTTATGTGGAAGTGGCGCTTAGGGTTTGGAAGGTTCCTTTTGATCCCTAGAAGAGATTGATTGTAGTCGGAGACCTTTAAGGAGCCACTGATAGGAGTAGCTGCAGTTCTCCCATTTCTCCCAAGTAGCAGGGTTTAGTGAAACCCTAGATTTTTTACTTACCAGCTTGGGATTGACTATAGTGAGGTCTATCAGGGCTAAAAATATCACTTTTGGATTTTTATTTGATTAATGGAGCAGTCTGAAAGTGAGACGAAGCAGAATGCAGAGTCCAGAATTGGTCCAGTAAAACCTGTGTTGAATGCTTTGACAACAATTAAGCCAGATGGAACAAATTACTTAGCATGGGCACAATCCATGCGATTTTATGTTTGTACTAGAGGTAAATTAGGGTACCTTACAGATAGTAAGAAGAAGCCATCAAAAACTGATCCTACATATGAGAAATGGATGCAGGAGAATTATACAGTTATTGGGTGGTTAGTCAACTCTATGCAACTCCACATAAGTCAACATTACCATTGGATGAATTTGGCCAAGGAGATTTAGGACAATGTTACATACTCTCAAAAGCTAAATGTTGCCAAAGCTTGTAAAATGATGTGAACAATCTAAGACAAGGGGAGAAATACCTAGCCATGTATTACTCTATGTTGAAATCTCTGTGGCAAGAAATTGATGTGATGGAAATTGTTGTGTGGGAAAGCACTAAGGATGCAGAAATTGATGTGGACAATCTAAGACAAGGGGAGAAATGCCTAGCTACTCTATGTTGAAATCTCTGTGGCAAGAAATTGATGTGATGGCAATTGTTGTGTGGGAAAGCACTAAGGATGTAGAAACTTATAAAAAGTTGGTAGAAAGGAACAAGGTGTTTGAGTTTCTCACTGGACTCAATCCTAAGTTTGACATTACTAGGTGGAATATTCTAGCAAAGAATGAAAGTTTCTTTCCCAGGCATATATCATGGTAGCAGTGAAGAGAGTAGGTGGCAAGTACAGTTGCAAGGACCACCTCCCCCATAACATTTTGCACATATAAGCATGAAGTCTAAGGGGCCTACTGAGAAGAAAGATGTAATATGTGAGTGAAGCAACTGACAGTCATAAAAGCACAGTCTGAAAGGTATGGAAGACTCATAAATCATTTGGAGACTACATTTGTAGCTTCCAACTCCTCAGGCAACACCTCCTCATCTGCTTTTGCTCACTCAGGTATTCGAGCTTTTGCAAATCATGCTACTATGTCAGGTAATCATAAAACCCCTTGGATTATAGATTCTGGTGCTTCTAGCCATAGGACCAGCATGTCTAACGTATTTTGCTCATATTAACTTCTTTCTAGTTGTGAAAAGATATCTCTTGTAGATGGGTCCCTTGGACCTATCTCCAGCAAGGAGGACATCAGAGTCTTAGACTCCCTTATTTTATCCTCTATTCTTCACATTCCTAAACTTAACACCAATCTTTTGTCTATTAGTAGTTTAACAAAGTCTATGAATTGCAGCATAACCTTTTTTCCTACCCACTATGTTTTTCAGTACCTGAAGTCTCAAAGGCAATTGGGAATGGCCATGAGGCGAATGGAATATAGTTGCTAGATACACCTAACAAGAGTCTTGTACCACCTATGGAGTGGTTTTGGAGTTTATTTCATCAGAGTTTGTTAATTAAACATTATAGCATTTACATTTTGGTCATATTTTCTTTTTTGCTTTGAGTCATTTGTTTCCAAAATTGTTTAAAAGGGATAGCTTTGTCTAATTTTCATTGTGAATTATTTGAACTTGCCAAGCATTATAGACATTCTTATTCATTAAGTAATAAAAGATCAATTTCTCATTTTCATATTGTGCACTCTAATGTGTGGGGGCCATTATCATTTACCTACTATGAGAGGCTATAAATACCATAGTTTTTTAGGCGCTAAGGCGAAGCTAGGCTAGGTGCCTTGTTGCCTAGTCACCTAGGCGATGGATTTTTTTCATGTATAAAACATAAATCCTAGGGTAGTTCCCTAGGTACCATAACCATATTTCCTTAATAATTATTCATAATTTTCGTAAGAAAAGTATAAAGTTCATGTTAAAGTATAGAAAATCAACATATTCATGAGAAAAAAAAAAGAAAAAAAAAAGAAATCAAAAAATATAAGGGGTAGTAGTAGTAGTAGTAGTAGTAGTAGTAGTAGTAGTAGTAGTAATAGTAGTTCTTCCATACTTATTATTAGTTCAGGTTTTGAAGTCTTTGAGGGTTCAATACAGCATTTAGCAATGTTTGTATAGATTAAACCCTAACAAATAAAAAAATCAAAAATAAATTAGTATATAAATACACAAGATGAATATTTTAGTTTGACAATGCCTATTTTATAATTATAATCTCAAAAAATAAAGAACAAAAAAGTATTTTATAATAAAAAGTACAAAATTGCTTGGCGATTAGGCAAGGCGAGTCTCAAACGGTGCCTTGTCACCTAGGCGTTACCATGACAACCATGATAAATACTTTATCATTTTTATTGATGACTGTTCACACTTCACTTGGATTTACCTCATGCAGTTCCAAGATGAAGTACCAACCATTGTGCAACACTTCATGAATTTATCCTTACACGATTTAATATTCGTAACAAAATATTCCATTTTAACAATGCTAAGGAATATTTTGAGAAGAATTTTCATCCTACCTTGATACCTTTGAGGTTATTCATCAGAGTTCTTGTTCCCACACCACACAACAAAACGGAATGGTGGAAAGGAAGAATCATTATGTGGTTGAGGTTGCTAGAAGACTTCTTTTTGCATCCCATGTTCTTGTGAAATTTTTGGGGAATATTGTTCGTACTACTACATATCTGATAAACCATATGCCTTCTCGGGTTTTGAGTTTTAAAACCTCATTTAGCCTCATTTTCCCTGATGAGAATTTTTCTCTCTTCCTCTTTGGGTTTTTAGGCATACTTGCAATGTTCATGTTCATAGCCACCAAAGACATAAGTTTGAACCTAAAGCTTGTAAGTGTGTTTTCTTGGATATGCCTCCATAGAGATGGGATATTGTTCTTATGATCCAATTCGTGGCATCTACTTTGTCTCCAAGGATGCCACAATTGCAGAGTCCATTCCTTTCTTTGGCATTCCTTCCAAGGGGGTTAGTGGAGTTATTTGCACAGTCCCCAACTATTCCTCTTCTAGTTGCTATTGAGTCCTCGGTTAAGTCACCTCCTTCTGTTGCATCACCTCCTATTAAGTCTTCACATGTTCCTGCTCATCCTCCCACTTTTATCTCTCATCCTATTGTTCAAAGATGGTATCAAAGGCAACAACTCAGGAATGAGCAAGTTGTTTCCACACCTTCAACTGGGCCTCTTGCACCTCGCATAACTAATGAGATGACAAGGCAGCCTTCTTCTGTCCCACCAACACCTTCCTAGACCTAGACCTTTCTATTGCCCTCAGAAAAGGGAAACGGAAGTGTACAGCCTATTGTATCTCTAAAACCTATCATGCAACCTCCTTTCTTTGACCTACTATTCCTTCTTAGCCTCTTTCTACACAAGCCATCCCTAAATCTGTATCAGAAGCCTTATCTAAATCAAAGTGAAGGGATGCTATGATGATTGATATAGATACTTTGCATAAGAACAATGCTTGGAAAATTGTGGATTTAACTAAGGGGAAGGAATCGGTCAGTTGTAAAATGGGTATTTACCATTAAGTACCATGCTGACGGTACCACTCAGATGTATGGTATTGATTACTTGGAGACCTTTGCTCCTTTGGATAAACAACAGTTCGGGTTCTCCTATCCTTGGCTGCTAGTTTTGACTGGGCACTCTACCAATTTGATGTCAAAAATGCCTTCATAAATGGAGATCTACATGAGGAGGTTTATATATCTTTGTCCCCAAGAGTGTATGGGAGAGAAATGCAAGGGAAAGTGTGTAAGTTGAAGAAGTCCCTTTATGGAGTCAAACAGTTTCCTAGAGCTTGGTTTGAGAGATTTCAAGCTGCTTTCGTTACGTTTGGATACACACAAACTCAATCTAGCCATACCTTCTTTGTCAAGAGGAGAACTTCTTTCGTGACCTTTCTTATTGTTTGTGTGGATGATATTGAAGTTACTGGTGATGATACACAAGAAGTTCTTAGC